TATATATATATTATTGTTCTTCTGCCTGCCACACTTCTCTATTACAGGTGTGATGGTAATAGTAATATAGATTCAGAATAAACAGATGAGAATAAAGAAAAGAAAAGGAAGCCCTATTCAAACAGTTCATCATAAATACAGGAAAAAGGGAGGACACTGAATAACGTTAGTAATAGATACATATTGTCATGTTAATTGTATGATAATAATATGAAGAAGACACATTTGGCATAAAAAAGAAAAGAATATATATATATATATATTCGTACCTATGATTCAGAAACAATGAAATAAAATCTTGGAAAACAACAATGAAACAAGTTAGAAATACTCCTTAATATTTATACATGTGCATACATATATATACATAATACAGTATATAGATATAACATGTAAGGGCATTTAGGCATTAAAATACTATGTATGACACACTTGCTGCCTCTGTCAATGGAAAAGAAAGAAAAAAACAAATAAACTAACCAATAATAATAATAATAATAATAATAATAATAATAATAATAATAATAATATCAGGAAAAACGTTGTACTGTTGTTGCTCTTCTTATTATCATTATTATTTGGAGTGTTTGTGTCTTTATTTTCATTTTCCATCAAAAGATAGGAGAAAAATAGAATAAAAACAAAAAAATAAATAAACTCAAACGAAGTAAAAAAAAAAAAAAAATCCTTTAGACATTAATAACGATGAAGACTTTTGTGAAAAGATAAACCGACATAACCGCTCGGAAAAGAATGAAAAATAAATAAACATAAATGAGATGGACGGATGAATGGACGGATGGAGAGTAAAGAATAAAAACTCTTCACTTTTTTTTTTCTACTGTACTTTTTTTTCTGTTTTCTTGACTATTATTATTATTATTATTATTCTTTCTCTCTCGGTTTATAATCATTTACCATAAATCCATCATTACTTCCCCAAACTGTTGCTGAATATGATAATGATGATGATGGTACAATCAAAATAAAAAGAAAAGGGGAAAAATAAAATGGCGTGAGCGATAAATATTAAAAAAAGAAAAAAAGTAAAAAAAAAAGAGGACATAAAAGAGAAAGAAAGAAAGATAATCAAGAAATAAAAAACATCTCAAGATTGTTAGTTTTTACTGTTTTTCCTTTTTTTTTTTGTTATTGACACTTTAAATAATAAATAACTATCACTCCTCACTGTTTATATATATATATGATTGAGATGTCACTATTTATCTTCTTTTTTTCCTCTTTTTTTTTTTTTTCTCTCTTCTCTGGTATCTCTACTGTCCTCATGTATGTCTCCCCTTCTCTCTCTCTCTCTCTCACCTCTATCTGATTCTTTAAAAATCAAAG